CATGCATGATGTGATCTCCGTGATAGTATGGATCTGGTGCGGCACCTCTGATCATGTAAGGAGTCACACAAGTCTTGCGCAATTGCATGACTATGTTCATCAGCTTCTTGTATGCAGATGTGTCCTTCTCTCCAGTAGCCTCGTTGGATATAGCCTGCTGGATAAGAGCGCGGCTCTGGCTGTCGAATGCGCTGTTCACCACGTCTTCGACCTGATCGAGTTGGACATCCTCTTGGACCTCTTTGATCAGTGCTTCGTGTTCTTTCTGCTTTACATTGCCAAATATGTCATCCAACAGCGTGCCACCAGCTTTCGTAAGCAGTCTCGTGTACCAGAATCGCTGAAGTGGAGTCAGAGGGATGTAGAGTAGAATCTCACTCTTGGGAGGTAGCCCCAGGTCGACACCAGGACTGCTTTTCATTCTTCGAATCATTATAAGTTCGAGCAAGTGACGTGCATGATCCATGAAGCTCGAGTCAACCTGACCCCGGCCGATATCGAATGCTTCTTTGAAAAGGTCCGCGGTCTTGTCGATGAAGACATTCGGGTACAGCCAGTGAAGCAAGGCCCACATCTCACGTAGGTCGTTTTGCAAAGGAGTTCCAGTTAGTAGTAAGCGATGTTCAGCTTGAAGGCCCTGTAAAGCGAGCGAGATGTTCGTCTTGTCGTTCTTGATCTTGTGTCCTTCATCCAGAATACAATAACGCCACACGAAAGCCTGCTTGAACCATGAACTTTCTGACTGGAAAGTCTCATAGTTGGTGACCATGATATCGAAGACGGTTCCAGAGTCCTCGTTCGTAGGCACGGAAACATCGCCTCGCTTGGTTTTGTTGCGTCCGGTAGCGTTTCCATATCTGTCTGTAACACCGGAAGCCATCAACTTCACCTCGTTGCGCTCAGAAGTCGAGCCGTGAAAGCGGAGAACCTTGAGCTTTGGAGTCCACTTGCGGGCTTCGTCGCACCATGATCCTAGTACACTGAGTGGACAGACGACCAGATATGGCCGAGCAATGCCGACTGGGCTGGGATGAGTCTCCTCGAGGTGTTGGATCAATGACAGCGTTTGCAGTGTCTTTCCAAGACCCATTTCGTCACCCAAGATTGCAGGCATTGCGTTTTCGTACATATTCGCCAGAAACGATAGGCCGGTGAGTTGGTAGGGCTTCATCGTAGCAACAACATTGGTAGGTTGCTTGCTCAGAGGATTATACGGCACATAATCCTGACGCTTGTCGTTGGTTTGCAGCAGCTTGGAGACATAATTATTAGGAGGAAGCAAAGGCAAGAAGTAGTCTTTGTAGTGGGCAAGGAATGCATCGCGCTTTGCTTTCGTCGTGGTGGCAATCTCCTCGCGTACTCGGTTACGCACGGTGTCAGCCTTGACGATACGTGGTGCCGTGGCTCTAGTCTTTGTCGTAGCCTCCTCGACGACCATGTCAGAATCTAGAACGCGGTTGTCGGCGATCTGTTGCCTCTTAGATTTGGATTTGGGTGTTTTCGTCTTGGGAGATTGGGTTTTGGGAGTCTTTGGGCGCGGTGAGTTGCTGTAGTCGACTTTGGACCGGGCAGCTCGAGGGGGCAAGGTTCTAGTCGGAGTGATGGGGTTGAGCTTGACAGGGCTCGCAACATCAATATTAGAGAGCACATCCTCATCGTCGTCGTTGATAAGTTCGGCGTCTTTGGAGTCAAAGTGAACTTCCGTAGGAGTGTCGACGGCGCCAGAAGGTTCTGTGGCCGGTAACATGTCTTCTGTCATTGCGTTCTTGAGCGGAGACTGAACCGTGGGCTGAGAAGGACTCATTGGCACCGACAGAGGCCTTTGTCTTGGTTTGAACAGCGACAGAAGACCGGACGCGGACAATCGTTGCCTCTTAGGTGCCGGAGATTGAGTGCCAGAGTTCAAAGGACTCTCTGGTCGAAGTGAGTGTTTTGCCATGCTGGAAGTGAAGTAGTACTCGTTTATGGTGCAAGGGAAATTTTGGAATTTCTCTTTTCGGACAGCACAGACACCGCCGACTAATTTGGATGAAGATAGTGAGTCAAATGTAGAGAAAGGTTGTTGTGAGCTCATGCCATCATTTTTGGGGGAACAATTGTTGCTGATTGAATCAAGCTTGGGGCGTGACGACCATCAAAACAAGTCTGGATGCTGCGGTAACCATGCGCAAACTAATCACCCAATCACTTGTTCTTATTCTTTTGCCGCAATTTGACATACAAGCTGGCTCTCGGAGAAGGAGTGGACAGTCAAGTCGCGTTCACTCTAGAAAACACGTCGACGTTTGAAGGATCGAAAGTTGAGGTGAGTAGGTACAAGCTCAGGTGGCTGGCGATTCGTTCAAAGTCAATCTCGCAGCAACCACGAATTTTGCTGAAATATCGAAACAATCCCTACCTATATGACGGCTATGTGTACAGTATAACTAGGTGTGTGAAACGATTTTCATTCTCTACTGATACTATTATTTGTATTACGACGAGAGAGTACATGTATTTTCTGACGCGTTATGCGCGTACAGGACTTTGACTTTTTGCCGTTTCCGCTCGGCATCGGAGGTTGACAGCCTCGAAAATCCGACTAATTGGTAATATCGGGCTCCGAGGTGATTGATGAAGGCGCGAGTCATCCGGCAGTTCGACCAATTTAACTAGTACTTGTATCTTGTATCGGAAGTGTTCTCGACATTTTTCTACTCCTAGACCCATATGCGCAAGGCTTTCACCAAGTCGCTGTCGCCATTCTACAGCATACCTCGGACTGGCAACCGCAATACCCGCACATTTACAACAAGCACAAGATTGTTCAACAACATGGAGAAGCCATTCAAGAAGATGGAGGAGCAGATTCCCAAGGCTTCTGAGCCCACAAGTGCTGCTGCGCCTAAGCAAGAGGACCAAGAGTTGCCCAAGTTGTCGCCACAGGAGTTCAGGATATACAACAGGATGGCAGAGCACATGGACATGTTTGTAAGTATTTCAACCTACCGACGCTACATCTACTCGACCTGAGCTGACGTCGCGAAGCACGAGAATTTCCGTAGGACGTGGAACCTGTTGTACGGTGCGTGCGAAAGCAAGAAGCGACCTGCCGGCATGTCTATCCGCCAGTTCATCGGTGTGGGAGACGACTTCTGCCACCACTTGACCATCCATCACACAATTGAAGAACGCCACATCTTCCCAATCCTCGCACGCAAGATGCCAGCCTTTAAGAAGGAGCTCGAGTTGCTCACTCAGCACAAACAAATCCACAACGGACTCGACAAGTTTGAGGAGTACCTCGGTCAGTGCCGAAGTGGAGAGAAAGAGCTGCGTATGGAAGAGATGAAGGCCATCCTGGACACGTTTGGCAAGGTCCTGTGGCAACATCTTGACGATGAGGTGCATGAACTCCGAGCTGAGAACATGAGACGGTACTGGACACCAGCGGAGATGGCGAGGATACCGATATAGAGAGCATGAGTTGATGCGTATCAAATAGACGCCTCTTTTCGTTCAGGACGGCTTGCCTTGCTTCCTCGCCGCGGCGAACTTCTCGTGCCATTTCCTCTTGCCAGCAGTCGCAGTTGCCGATGGTTTGGACGCGCCGGCCGTGACTTCTTCGGCGTGCGCATTCTGGTTGCGGACAAACTCGATGCGTTTCCCGCCTCCTGATAGCTTGTACAACCCCTGTCCGACCGTTAGCCATGCCCACATATTGCAACAAGACGGACTTGCCTTGAGCATATCAAGATTTGGCTCAGACCGCCAGGTCTCAGGTAGAGCATCTTTCCAAGTGTCCAGGAAAACAGAAGTATCCATGACCGGATGATTGTTGTTGTTCTGACGTTGTGACTCTAATGTGTTGGTACCTACCCATTCCACGGTAGCGTGCTGCTGGAACTGCAGCAAGTCTTGATCGTCTCCAGATAGCTTCAAGAAGATAGCGTCAACCAGACCCCTTGGCCACTCGTCTTCCCCGTCGAGCATCTTGTCAACAGACTCTTTCTGTACAGGCTCTGCCAGATTGACAGCATTCGCGTATGCAATCTCCAACAACCATTTCCAGGCTTTTGCGAGGGCGACGGCAGTAGGACGGAAGCTCTGACCAGCGTGCTCAAAGGCGACTAGGTCTTTCCAGACGGTGTGGCACTCGTCGTGGCTCATTGGTGTGTGCGCAAATACGTAGTCTTTGGACTGCGGGTTGGATGGGCGAAAGTCTAGTTCCTGCGGTTCACCGAAAGGTATCAAGAGGGAGCGGAGGGTGGATTCGGCATGACGGACGGGCGCGGGCAGACACTCGAGAGCTGAGCGGCATTGTGAGACGGCGGTGGTACCAGGAGCATTGTGAGTCGGGGTTGTGAGGTAGACGGTGTTGGAGGTATGGACTTGGCGTATGAGGTAGGTCTTGTGTGCCGTGGTCAAGAAGGCCTCAGGATCTGTCGCATCTTTGGCCTTGAAGCTCAGGGTGGGAGCATGGGATGCGCTGAGGTATTCGACCAAGTCTGGAGGGAGCTCTAGCAGGCGACAAGGGTGCAGGTCGGCAGCGATGGAAAAGGGAGTGGTCGAGGTCGACTGCGAAGACATGGTTGCTTGCTGACTTTGAGTGCAGGGGGAAAGACGAATCGCGACTTCCTCCCCCGCAAACAAAATACACGAGCGGCACAGGCGGAGCAGCAAGCAGGCAAGCTGGAAGCTCTCAAACTAGTTCGTCGGCAGCGCGGGCCGAGAGATCAATATCAGAGCCGACGGTTGCAACAACAAACGGTGTGTGACCCAATTGCTGCCCTAGTACTCGTGTAATTATACATACACGATACAACCAGCCATCTCCCCCCTCGCGTCGCCGAATTGTTGTTTTTTGTTTCCGACGGCCGTCCGCTCGTTCGTCGTCCTCGCTCGCTCTCCCCCCCCAAACGCCGGGCAGAAGGCTGGTCCTCGTCCGCTTTGTTTACTCTTTCGACAGCCGGCCATGAGCTTGTACCGTGACTTCCTCGCCAGTGTCTGAGATCTTCCCAATGGTCGTTGTTACGCCGGCCATAGCCGCCCTCACCGGCGAGCTAACCCTCTTCCACACCACCGACCCACTTCTCTCCAACTCGCCCATCCTCGTCTTCTACGGTCCTGCGCCCTCCATCTCTGCCGCTACCTCGCGCATCCAGATCCACGTCTTCACCCCAGCTGGCTTCGAATCCTACCCCCGTGTCAGCATCTCGCCCAATGCTCCTTACTACGCTGCTGTCAATTCACTCCCACGAGAAGAGCAGGGCGATGAAGTCTGCCGTGGTCTGGCCTTTGGTCTGTCCAAGTACTTCGCCGAGGTCCCCAGGCCTTCAAGGGACGCATGGGTCGCCCAAGCATGTCCCTCCAGGAAAGCCGCTTCTGCCTTTGCCCTCTTCAGTGACGCCCACGTCGCCATCCTGGCCACCCGTATGAACAAGGTCGATAATTCTGACGAGATCATCAACGACATACAACGCTCTCTCAGCGAACAAACCGTATCATGGCTAGACTTGGACGTTGTTCTCCCTCCCGGATCCATTGAGCCTGTCAAGATCGACGATGAAGAGCCCGAGCAAGAGAATGTTGACGAAGACGAGCTGTGTGCCCGTCGGTATGGAGACTATGCACCTTTCATCAAGCTGCTAGGTGAACCTGCCTTCCTGCCCACCTCCAAGTTACGAAGGGCTCCTTCCAAGCCTACCGCAATTGGCCGTAGTCAAGCTTTCCTCAGGGACCAGCGCGACGTGGCCAGGAAGGAAATGAGTGAGCTAGTCGATACCGAGTCTAATTATATCAACAAACTCTCCCTACTGGTAACCGACATTGCTTCTGACTTGCGAAAAATTGTTCACAACGACGCTATCCCTGTCTCGAATCCCATGGAACGCACGATTAACGATCTGTTNTCTCCTTTTCTCGACAAAATGCTTGAGCTGAACTCAGCCTTTCTCGAGGCTATTCGTCGTGTCCTGGACGACACTGAAGACTCGACTATCCTGGACCTGACAGACACTGCCGAAGAAACCTCCCACGATGAGCCTATAACGGACACGATTGGCTTGACAGAGTTCGCAAAGTGTTTGATCGAATGGTTCCCGAAGTTTGCTGAATGTTATCCCTCTTACATGCAAGCACACTCAAGGTTTCCACGACTGATGAGAAGACTGGCACGTATTGGAGATGCAAACATCCTCGACAAGATCCAGGAATTCGGAGAGAAGCGCCTAAACTCTCTGTTGATTGAGCCGGTACAACGTCTGCCGCGCTACACGTTGTACATCGATGGTATTGCAAAGCAGCTTCCAGTAGCTCATCCTGCACTCAAATTACTACTCAAAGCTCGGGACATAGTCTCGGAGATCTGCTCGCAAGATGCACCGGGTGCTCAAGAAACGAACATTTGGGAACGTCTGCAGCGTATCGTCAAGTCATGGCCAGAAGAAATCGAATCTGTAGGTCGACTGATCACCATAGTTGATGTGGTGGAAATGTTCCCTCCGTTCGAGGATGGCCATAGCCGTGGAAGCTCGGGCGTCCTCATGTTGTTCACCGATTGTACGGTCTTTGTGGAAAAGCGAACTCAGATGGCAATGTCTGCGCGAGCCTTGCTGTCAGAACTCGGAAAACCATTGCTCGAGGACCGTCGTGACTCGACTCGTCCAGTCACTCCGCCATCTTTGCATTTTGTTGATTCTTTCAGCCTACAAGACACCACCGTAACGGAATACCTGGACAATCGCGCCATAACCATTATGCCTCTGTCATCTGGCCCGGATCCCGGCATTGCATGTGAGCAGCGTGTTTATCTTCTTGAAGGATCATACTCTGGAAAGGCATCTAAGTTCCAAGAAGAGTGGACCAAGGCCCAGGTCGAAGGCCGTTTCACCGAAGAGGAACGTGAGAGTGGAAAGTGGGAAGTTCGCAGTGCCCAAATTGCTGGTGGAGAGCTGAATCTGTTTAATGCCATTTTCGAAGGTTGTCAAAGGCATCATCAAGATAACCCATCCGAATCTGCACGAATTCGTGTAATCATCGACCCAAGCAAGCATGAACACCTTACACCTGTTGGAGAGAATCAAATCGAGGCGAACGTGTCCTTGGAAAAGTCGGAGAAAGGGCAGTGGCGCATATCGATAGAGAGCGCTTTCTCGATGGCTACACGGGATAAGGTTGACGAAGGAGAATTTCTCTCTATATTGATACGTCGGCTGAGCGGGTTACTAACATCTCGATTCTCGACCAAAAACTCTGCCATCACTTCTTCATTCGTCCTTCGTAACCAGCAGGTCTTGGACGACTTGCATCTGGAGTTCGAAAAGAAAGAGGCCGAGGTATCAGTCGCACGGGAGCCTTCTTCTAGTCAGGAACATCATCGTCCCAAATCTCCCGTCAAGATGATTTCCAACTTCCTCTCTCAGTCAGCACATGGACGTCAGACCCCGACTTCGCGAAAGCTTCCTCAACCCAACGCCTTCTCAGATGCCCCTCTGCTTCTTCCAAGTAGTAGAGATGGAAGTCGACCATCTTCTCGCGACCAGCCTCTACAGCTCTCTGTGACGCCCGAGAGAAACAACAGCGTGGCAAGCCCTTCAAGAAGACTCGAGGATGCGCTGAATACCTATCTCCTAGCCCTGCTTGCTCGCAAAGGCAACATTGTTGGCAAAGTTGTGCAAGGCAGATCGCGTGCAAACGAGCTCTCTGTCAATGAATTGTACAACTCGTTGCTTGAGGACCCCAACATGATGGTGGTAGCAGCCCAGTCTTCCATTGATGTCCTCTTCGCTGCTTTCGAAAAGTTCCTCAATGTCGCTTGGAAAGAAGGCATTGGTGCAGTGATGACAGCAACTCAGTTCCAGACCATCCAGACTAAAGCCGAGAGTCTGTTCCCTGTCGACTTTGAGCGATACTTCAAAGACAGTTTTCACAATATGTCTCCTCCAAACCAACGAGCATTGAGGGGGATTGTAAAACTATTAGCAGAACTGTTGGATGGCACTGGCAACGATGGCGACCGTGGCATCTTGACTGCAGCGTTTGTGGAGATTTTGGTCCCTGACGGCAATCCATACGACTTTGTGTCACTGCTCGATAGATTCGTGGAGGACATTGAATCATTGTTTGGCGAAGTGGTGCAACCTAGAGAAGTAAGGCCTACTCTNGGTGGACATGGTCGCTCACGCTCCACCAATACTGCATCCCTGACCTCGAATACATCTTCTTTCCGAAAGAAGTTCGGATTTGGCTCTAGTACTAGCAGACCGGAACAAGACTTTAAGGTCTCTGTATGGCGCACCTTAAGCAAGAGCACAAGGCTTCCTGATCAGCCCTCCAGCTTGTCTAGAGGTACAATGCAACGGGCGAAGACTACAGACGGCCATGGCGGATTACCTATCAGACCATTCTCACAAGAAGGACCAAGCAGAGGCCCATCGCCTCAACCACCTGAACGACCCATGTCGCATGACTCCATGTGGCACAATACCGGTCCTTCACTTAGAAGCATAGGCGAGACACTCAGTCCACCAAATCCTTCGCCTCATCGAAAGAAACGGCGTAGCTCGCTGTCTGACCTCAAATCTTTGGAGCTTACTTTGAACGAGTCGCCCTTCATCTCGCCGTCTGCGATGCGCTCTTTCGAGGACTCACCCAAGGAGCCAGTAGAGAGGACAAAATCTCCCTCTCCAACACTCACCAGAGCTAGTGGCATCCCAACACTTGGTTCAACTCTAGGTTCGCCTATCAGTGACCGGCCTCGTTCAAGGCTACCATCTGCATTTCGCAAGGAGAATTCGCCTCTCAACCAGCCCAGTCCATCACCCTCAACCAGACCAAGAAGTCTCAGCAAGCAGCCAGAAGAATTTGACGCTAGTCCCGGTCCACTTTTGCGACGTGGCAGCAAGCAAGTAGGAGATGCAACTCACAGTCCGTATTCCATTGGAAGACGAAGTTCGAAACATATTGATGAAGGACTTTACCCTCTTGCACGCCGCGGCTCCAAACAAGTTGAGGATGGACATAACATTCTCGCACGTCGTGGATCAAAGCAAATAGACGATGTCAGCGCCGGTGCTTTCCCGACACTCCGACGCAGTTCGAACATTCCTCTACTTTCGTCCAAGATCGACAGACCGAAGACACCTTCCACACCAACTACAAGAGCAGGCCTATCAGAGCGTCCCACAGCTGGCAACGCCATGCGCATAAAGACTGGTCAATCAAGTACTCCAGCAAAGGTGACGATAAAATCGCCACCACCTAGTGGTACTCCAACCAGAAAACTACGCATGCAATCGCCACAGAAACTACGTGAGCGTCTGCAAGACGAGCACCGTGCTCTTGACACTGCGCATTCAACCCTGCAAGACGAGTTGAGCCGTATAGGCGAGGAGATCACCTTGAACCGCCACAACAGTGTTCTTCGTGGTAACGACTCGCCCGCTCAAGCTCAATCATCCAGCCATGATCTCCGTCACCGACTCTCGGCTCTTGAAGCCTCTCTCCCCTCTTCTGTCGACGCTGTAGCAGCTCGTGTAGCCAAGATCCAAGCTGATGCGCTATCATCCCTCGCCGTGTCAGAGTCCAAATCCAAGAAACTGGATGAGCTGTATCGTGAAGCTAACGCCGAGAATGAAGCATTGTATGCACGATTTAATGATGAATTGGCGAGGGTGCTGAAGGCTGTCAGGAGCGGGCAAGGGGTGGACGAGTTGAAGAAACAGGTCCGAGAGTCGCAGGATGAGGCTGGAAGATTGAGAAGAGAGAATGCTAGATTGAAGCGTGAGGTTTTGGGGTTGAGAAGTCAGTTAAAGGAGTGACGAATGTTGGACAACACGACATTTGGCAAATGAAGGACTCTGGTTGAAGACAGGATGGCTGGCGGGTTAAAAAAGGAAAGGATTGGACGAAAGAGAGGGCAAGGATGGAAGAAGCAAGTAAATGAAATGACTTGGCATGATAAAACAAGGAGGGTAAAGAATTCGAAGGGAGAAGGACCAGGAAGGAACAGCGAACAAGAAAGAGCCGCAACTTAGAGTGCGATCACGACTACCCTATTCTGAAGATAGTCGTGTTGCTGTTTGTCATTATCATTGCAGTGTATTAGCGGCGGCGGCGTCTTGTTCTTGAGGTTGACGTCTTGTTTCTTCTTTTCTTTTCTTTTTGCTTTTGCAGCGACTACAGCATGCCTTGACATTCTTGCAAGTAAACACAAAAGCGTGGTATATATCATGTATTGGCTACTCCAGCGTTCAACATATGAATAGATCAAGACTCCCAGTACCGCTTGGGTTTCTTTGCGTCATAATCCTCGTCAATTTCATGGGCAGTGGTCTCACAGCCGTCGTCATCTCCATCTGCCTGGCAGCAATCCCATGTGAAGCCATCAGGGCGGGTTTGCTCTAATACCCCATTGTGATGGTTGCAGGCATCGTCGGGGTTGTCTGTGACATCGAATTCCTCTTTACACCATCTACACATCTCGAACCGTGGTCGTTTTCTTGTTGGCTTCTTCTTTGCTGCTATCGCCTCTTGTTCCTCTTCAGGGTCTGGAGACAGTGGGGCTAGGAGTTCTCTCTCAAACACCGAACGGGCCTTTGGAGATTCGTTGAGGGCTTTGTAGAGGACGGTGTGTAAGCGGTCCAGTGTAATGTGTTCGATTGCTGCTTGCAGAAGCGGTTTTTCCTTTGCCTTTGGGAGTTTTGGAGCGGCGGGTGGTGTTGGATCTGTGGATGTTATTTGGGTGAACTTGGCTACTTTTGGATCATCCTTTGTGGTTTCTTGGGAGAGGCCCATTTTCGCTTTTGCTCTTCTGGTGGCTTCGAGTCGTTCTGGTACTATGGCTTTGATTGCTGCTTGAAAGGCTTCGTCGAGAGAGGAGGCTCTCTCTGACTTTTTGCTGGCTTGTGTTTCGGAGTGGAGGAATTTGATTTTCGGCGGAGATGGTCTGATGGTTCGATCTTGTTGGGTGGCTTCCCTAGCACTGTGGGTGGTTCGACTGGTTCGGGTTTTGATAGCACGGTATCTAGCCATGGATTTGTCCTTGTGGTCGTCATGTGCGCTTGCCGTGTTGATGCTGAGGGAAGCATACGAAGAGTTGCAGCCATTGATACCAGATATTCGCACTTTTGCCCGTACAGCTCAAAGGGCCAGAAGAGCAAAGCATATCCAAAAGTGATGAGCAGATGTGCACATGAGCAAGTATTCGTAGCAGCTACCAAAGCACGTGGAGACAGGATATTCGTGATGTCAGTATCACAGGGCGATCAGCAACACTGCATCTGGCATCTCCTTGGAGTAAACCCTTTTGCTTACATGTCCTTGCTCTTTCCTGCTTGCTGAACAAATCTCACTGTATGGGACGGAGCCGCGCAGATGACGGGTGGATCTTGATTGCAATAACCATTTGCGGTTTGATCGACAACTTACTCTTTCCGTCTTTGGGCATGATGGGCAGAAGAAAAGCGCATGCCGAAAATCGATCTGTGATGGCAAGGCGCGAGATGCAGTACTCCGTACATAAGCGCTTAAGCTAAGCGGTCGCTCCCCTGCCGTATGTTTATCTGTTTGATGTGGAAGGAAATTGCAAAAGTTTGTTCAAGCTTGGTGGTTTGTTACGTCGTCGTTCGGCCAGCCGCACGGATTTCGGGGGTTTGCACTCCATATCTACCACCACAAATTCATCAACACTTGCCCGGTTCGCCCCATTTTGTTTACTACGGATGCAGCAAGCAAAAGGAGTGTTCAGGGGTGCTCAGATAAACAAAAGATCGACGCCTAAGAGATTCGAACTCTTGCTCCCGAAGGAAATAGATTTCTAGTCTATCGCTATAACCACTCAGCCAAAGCGCCTATGAAAAATGCCGGTTTTAAGCTTGTGTATCAAGTCACAGTGGCGAGAAGGAAAGGAGCGACCTGCGAAAGGAAGGAGTGACCGGCATATGCAAAATCAGGCAGGCACATGGCTCCGTGTGAGGCGATTGTAGCGATGATTTGAAGAAGAACAGGTGATGTTTGGCCGTGGTGTGAGAAGGAGGAAAGAGCGACCAGGATGGAGTGACTACGTATGCCAAGCATTTCCCTAGGTCCTTGCTGCTTATACAACCCTGTCAAGAAATCAACATGTTCTCTAACACTCGAGATATCCATGGTATTGTTCTGAGTTCTCTCATACACTGTTGCACGCCTCTATCAAATCGTACTGGCTGATGCAGCGATGTTGTGGGCAGTGCTGGCTGCGATATCAGCCTATATGGTGCTTATCGCTGGCCAAGCTGGAGAATTGAACAATCGCTGACTAAATGTGCTACAGCATCATATCAAGCACCATCACGGGTTCGCAATACCAGAACAGAAGCCAATTCTTTACAAGAGATCGTAAACTCACCTAGCATCGATTCGCTATGCCGCTTCCACCAATCGATCCGCCGCTGCTAAACTCAGCCAACCCGTGGTGCAGCACGCGAGAAGACCTCGAAGCACTCTACGCATGTCTACATACAGGCGCCGTGACAACAAGGACCAGCCTGCTCCTCGGCTTCCCCCACGACGACGCCATCCACCAACACGCTTTCTTCTCAACACAATCGCACACGGCCACAACAGCGCCAGACTACACCATCACCGGGAAAGAGTACCCAGCCAGTCTCAACACACTCGGCTACTCGCCCACGCCCATAGACACCTACCTCGATTGGATTGAGCAAATCGTTGCCGCTTCCCGAGATACGAGACCCAAACCGTTCATCGTCTCTGTTACAGGATCTCCACAAGAGGTTGCAGAGTGTTATACCCGAGTCGCTGCACTTGCTGCCCGTGTCTTAGCGCCGCTCGCCGTCGAAGTGAATTTGAGTTGCCCAAACATCGCGAACAAGCCACCGCCAGCTTATTCTGGTTCCGCCCTGAAAGAGTATATTGATGCCTTGAAGAACGTCCCGCGCACAGTGCCGTTGGGATTCAAGACACCGCCATACACATACGCCGGTCAGTTCAACACGCTGATAGACACCTTGTACGCAAGTGGAAAGTCAACAATTGATTTCATAACTGCGACAAATACTCTGGGCTCTTGCCTTGTACTCGATAACAAGAAACCCCATCAGGGGCAGCCTTTGCTTCCCTCGGCAGCAGGTACTGGTATTGGAGGACTCGCAGGTGAACCCTTACATTCGCTAGCTCTGGGTAACGTCGCCACGCTACGCCGGTTGCTCGATGAGCATCCCGAGTTACGTGATATCGATATCATCGGGGTCGGCGGTGTCAGTGATGCGGCTGGACTATCACGTATGCAGGCTGTGGGAGCCAAAGTCGTGGCCGTAGGCACAGCTCTGGGAAGAGAAGGCTTGCCAGTGTTTGCTAAGATTCTGAACGGCACAAAGACCTCGAAGTTGTGAATGTAACATGAAAGTATGCAAGTTTCGTTTAATGGAATATAACCAATCCCACCTTTATCCTTTATGAAGTATGCGCCTTAGGTAATGCTGAAACAAGCACAGAACAATTAGGTAAAGACATCCGTCGCGAATCTCACGTTGCGGATACCCTCGAACCACTCTTCAGCCTCTTTCTCCGTCTTGTCCTTTCCAAGCTCCTGAGCTCGCTCCATATAGATCTTCTGACACACCTGCTGAACGCTGCGCTCGAGACCACGGCTACCACATACGTAAACTCTGCTGCCGGCATCCCACAGCTCGAGAGCCTCCTTGCGGTGCTCCCACAAGGCATCTTGTGCGTACTTTGCACTGGCCTCGGGTACTCTGCTGTAAGCACGCAAGATCTTGACAGCACCTGTAGCTTCCCACTTGTCAAAGTCCTCGCGGTACAGCTCGTCCTGGTCAGGGCTTCTGCAGCCGACGACGAGCAGAGCGGGCGCAAGCTTGCGGCCGGCTTCCACCTGAGCTGCTCTCTCCTGTACGAAGCCACGGAAAGGCGCCACACCAGTGCCGGCACAGATCATGATGATAGGTGTGTTTTCATAGTCAGTAGGCAGGTGGAAGGCTTGGTTGGAAGGACGCACAGCGACGTGCAACCTGTCGCCTGTAGCCAGCTTCGAGAGGTAGTTGCTAGCTACACCAACATATTCGCCCATGCCGCTCATGTGTGATTGATGCAACACGGCGTAGGTCAGAGTGACGCGGTGAGGGCTGACCAAACTCGAAGAAGAGATGGAGTAGGATCTGGTACGCATGGNGGGCAGACTGCTGATGAAAGCACCCAGAGGTAATTGTACTGACGGGAATCTGTTGAGCAGGTCCAAGAGTGAGACTCTCTTTTCGCTGATCTCGGTGCTGAATGCATCGCCAGAAAGTCGCGTGAGCTCCTTCTTTGTTTCATCATCCGTGCAAGCATCCAAGAGAAGTGTCACATTTCGTTTGGTCGCAGGTTGTCCAAGTTCGACATATGCGCCGAACAAGTCGTTGGCAGAAATGGGAGTGTTTGTAGGCAGGATTGTACCTACAGCAGCCTTGATTGTCAGCACGCTGTCCCAGGCCAGATTGAAGCGACGCATAACGCGCTGGACGCTTTCATGTGGGTTGATAGGGAGCACATGGAGATAATCGCCACTGCTGTAGGTCGCCGAAGCCGGTAGCTCAACCTCAATATGTCTCTTCTCTGATGCACCGGGCTGCGAGAGAAGCTTTGCATCAACGACGCGAGCCTCATACACATCGGCACGCAAGTGCGAAGAGCGGACACTTGAGACCTCGACCGTTAGACTTTTTGTTGCCGCCGCCTCTGTTGCAGCGCCATCACCTCCATACTTCTTCGACATGGCAGGCCAGAAGACTTCATCTTCCCACTTCTCGAACTCGCTGAACATGTCGCCATTGGCAGCATTGGCTGATCCTCGACTGCAGATGCGCTCTCCACCACGGGCCAGAAGCATCTCATCGATGGCTGTAGGGATCTTGTGGAAAGTGTTCTTCCAATCACTGTGACCAGCGCCGAAAACAGTATATTGTACCTTAGCAGAATCCCCTTCAAGCGTTTTAAGCCAATGGAAGAAGTGGGCCGCATTGTCTGCGGGTTCACCTTCATATGAACAGGTGATGATTGCAATTGGCTGGTCTGTAGGCAAGTTGTCCTTGGCAGAGTCAAGAGTGTCAATCTTGGTGACCTTAAATCCATGAGACGGTGCGTCGGCTGCGAGACCTTGAGCAAAAGCCTGACAGGTACCTGTGTTGGATCCATAGAGAATGGTCAGAGGTCTTCCCTTGCCGTCACTCGCAGCGGCTCTTGCCTTTTCATCGTCAGATCTGCTGACTTGCTTTGCCTGGACAGAAGCCCCATTAGAGGACAGGATCTGCTCGAGCTGAGTGGGAGTTCTGCCATGGCGGAGCTGAGCGTGCATGTAGAGGTGGTTTGGCTTGATGGTGAGCGTCGACTTGATCTGTAAGTCGTACTTCGCATCGTCTAGAGTGAAGTCAAAGTACTGGAGTAGCATTGCAACCACGAGTTGAGCCTCTTGCCATGCAAATGGACGACCAATGCAAGCACGAGAACCATTGCCAAAGGGCTTCCAGGCGTTGGGAGGAAGTTTGTTGAAATTCTCGTCAAGCATTCTTTCGGGCTTGAACTCATTGGCATCCTCTCCGTACACTGCGGGATCGCGGTGGATCTTTGGCAGGACCGCAACAATAGGCTCACCTCTGAATACGGTGTATTCTCCACCAATTGTGTCAACTTCGTTGTTCGGCTGAATCGAGAAGGCTGGAGCAGTGGGCTGTAGTCGAAGCGTCTCACGCAAAACTGCGTTGATGTAGGGAAGCTTGCTCAAGTGCTCCACTTTGATACTTGCATCACCAATGACAGTATCAACCTCTTCTTGTGCCTTTTTGTATGCCGAAGGGTTCTTCAAAAGGTAATAAAAGAGGAAGGAGAGCAGACCAGAGGTGGTTTCGTGGCCTGCGATGAGGAAAGTAATCATGTTGTCCGTGATACTTTCATCGGACAGTTGACTTCCATCTCTTGGATCCTTGCCGTGAAGCATCGCATGAAGAAGGTCCTTTCTGCCTCCAGGGTGCTTCTTGCGATTCTGGACCAGTTCCATACTCAGCTCTCGCAAGTACTTGATGTCTTTCCAGTATTGATATTCTTCTCTCCGGTACAGTGCGGCTAAGAAACCAGGTCTTCGGATTCTCTGACCAGATTCTGAGAGTACGTTGACCATCGCATCCACGAAGGGGTGCATCTGTTCCGCGTAGAATGAGTTGAATCGATAGTCCATGGAGCAGAGAGCAAGGGTATCCAAGGTCAATCGCGTGAAGTCGTCCGTGACATGGATCTTGTAGTCCTCTCCATGACGGGCCCATTTCATGACCAATTGAGACGCCACATCCTTCATGTCATCGAACATGGCACGAATGTTAAGCGGTCCAAAAGCAGGCACCAGAACACGATGAGCAACCTCCCAGTTGTGTTCGCCATCGTNGCTGTAATTTCATCAGACATGGAAGCCAATGCGAAAGTCACATCAATGTGGACATACCGCGGTGAAGAGACCATCTCCAGTCAGGTTTCTGACTTCTCCCAGAGCGGCGGTGACTACCTTGCCAAATCTCTTCTCATCACAAATCTCGTTCATCAACTCGACAGAGGAAATTATCACTCGACGTTTTCCGAGTATTGAAAGACTGTAGATAGGTCCTGTNNTTGCCGTCAGTCGCTTTGCTACTGTACAGGTAGTTGTGGAATAGTGACCATATTTGTCGGCAATGTCCATCAACGACTTGATGGGAACCTCAGGGTCGATGTCGCTAACATTTCCTAGGAAGGGCCAGCCTGCCGGGCCAGGAATAGGAGTAGACATGTTGATAAGGATCGATGAAGAGGGTAGTCCCTGCCTGACCTCTCTTATATCAGATTAATTCCTCCTTGTCGACATAAACTAGGCATCGGAGCTTCAAGCTTGGCCACCGACACGGCCTGTAGTCAGCCGACGCGCGTGCCTCCTCGTGATCAAAGCTTGCCTCGGTATCTGTTGAAACACGAGTGTTTGCGCTTCTTCAGGCAAGCCTTGCGAAAACAATAGCGAGACGACGGAACGAGAGAACATAACTCGCATGGCCTTCTCCTCCTACTCTGCTCATCAGGGGCATGTCTGGTAGGAAGTGGCCAATCCACAGTGCCGCTGTGCCTGTAAATATCGCAACTGTCATGAGAGAGGCCGATCATGCACCGTGTTCATTTCGTAAGGCATCATTAGATCATACGTGCAAACATTGAGCCTCTCTCGCCCACGAGGTTGCAGTCATTTACACAGCCGGTCAAGTAATTGTCACTCTCACCCATCACCGGATAGCTCGTTCCAGCTTGACCCATAGGGGTGACTTGTCCCAAAAAGAGAAGACCTTCTGGTCAGCCCAGTTCCTGCTCTCGTCCACCAATTTCATGTCGAAGTTCCAGAAGACTTCTGTCAACAGCAGTCGACATTCGTGATATGCAAGATTGCGACCAATACAGTTGCGAGGCCCCACCGAAAATGGCTGGAACGCAGCATGGTTGTCGTGTTCGAAGCGCGCATCCTCACCCAACCATCTTTCCGGAATGAAGCTTGCTGCGTCGTAAAAATTGGATTCGGAGCGGTAGGTCGCCCACTGGCTCACCGAGACAGTCACATCTTCGGGGATCCATTCTCCACAGATCCTAGCCCCTCCTTGTGGTACCTGACGTGGCAACCCGGTCGGGATTGGTGGGTACAACCTCATGCCTTCCTCAATACAAGCAGAAAGGTACGGGAGTTGTTGTAGCGCTTCGATCGTGATATCTGCATCACAAACAAAAGCAGAGCGCAGTTCCCGCGTGAGCCGGTTTGTCGCTGTTGGACTCCGAAGGAGATGATACGTCAATCCACTGCAGTCTCATGTCAGCAACGGAAAACAGTATGCACACTATACCACATACCTCAACAATGTCGCAGTGGTTTCGGTACCTGCAATCATAAACATGGCTGAATTGCTGTGCATCTCGCTCAACGACATTCCGCCTTCTTGCCCAGCTTTCTTCAGAACAAAGCTCCATAGATCGGGATTGGAGGGTGTTCTTGCAAGTCGACGATCCACGCGATCAGCAGAGTATTTGAAGTGGCTGACCTGCTTCTTGCGTATCGCATTACTCAACAAGACGTTAACAAGAGTGGTCATGCCCGGTATCAATCTGATCGCGCGAAGCCTAGTCATGGATTTAATAGAGGCGAATATTGTAGCGACCCATGGAGAATATTCGGAGCCTTCAAGCATGTGCAAGCTCTCTGAAAATGTCAGATCGGCCATGATATCAAACGTTGTATAGTTGAAGTAGGCGACTAGATCGACAGGAGCGTCGGCAAGGGACGAAGCTTCCAGCTTGGTTACAAGCAGACTTGCCCAACGCTTGAACAGGGGCTCCTCTTCTTTCAATGCCTTGTCGGAGAACGCATGTGATAGGACTCTTCGCTGTCGGGCATGACTGGTATCATCCGAACTCAGGATGGAGGTGGTTCCATTGACCGGGATGGCATAGAGGCGGCGGTCTTTTGCGAAACTCCTCTTACCGGACAGTCGATGACCATATATTTCCTTCCAAGCGTTCGTGCCTGACAAGCCTTCGTCGCTGGCTGAAGCTGCCTCAATATAGCTGATTTCTGTAGNGGAGACTCGCACCACGGGGCCGTACTGCGAGTGGAGACGGTGTTTCGTTTCGGTATCCTGCCCTCTCCAGATCATGCATATAAGTGGTAGGTTGCTCGCAGCCCACCATTTTGGTCCCGGGAACTTTGAAAGAGGTCCAAACCAGACATCGTATACCGTGATTGCAATCCGATAAGCAAGATACTATAGACCATTAGCATATATACATTGACGATAGCATACAGAGCACAATACTGAGATGATGGTAATACTAAGTATCCTCCACGCAAGGCCCGGCGCTATTGAAGAGGGTCGTTCGAGGTTCATCACGTACGTAGCGGAGGAATGGGTTGAGAGGGATAGAGAAGATCTACACTGCGCATGGGACTGGGGACAGTCTAAATATGTCAAACATTATCGTGTGAGAGAGTTCGAGCAAACATCGCGCCCTGATGGCCTTGTTCCCACCCTCCGCGATTGCGACTCTGCTTGCCAATCATAACATGTATCCTACCTTCCGAAGGTCGCGGGACGTTGCAACTTGCAAGAGTCATGGGCGAACTACTGCAGGTTTCATGGGCACTCACAAGACGCTTTCCGAAAGTGAGAATGGTGCCAAAGACAGCCAAGGCAAGTGTGCGGAGTTTCCATATCGAAAATGGATGTTGATGTGCTAAGCGAACAATAGGCTTTTGATCTTCACTCTGATCTTCACGAACAGCGACGACGATCCGCAACTCGACTCGAGATACCGACGAAGCAGCGACCCTATCAAGACATGTTGGACACGAACTTTCGCGTTCAACATCCCGAGTTGTGACTGACATTCAGCTACGCGACTCAAATCCTGCCCTCCACGTGTTCACTCTATCATCGCGCAAGGAGCGGCTCGAACAGCAGTCCTCTCACTCGTGGCTGGAGAACCACGTAGATTCTCAGAGCGATACGTGCGTACCAGATGACACATTCAGCTTTTAAGCTCAGCCGTTCCGATCTCCAAGGCGTTTAAATGTCTTCTCAGTCTCGGTCTACCAAGAGCTTGAATGTATCCGATGGCAGATAGGTAGCATAATATTGTCCGGCTGGTGGTACTTTGTATGGGGAGGTTGGTTGCTCTTGCCGCGGCTTTGCGATCAGCACGCTGGCCACGCTGCAATCGGCAAAAACGTCCACAACTGGAGAAATGATGGCCCAACGTCCAGCAGTTCTGTTATGATAGGCCTCGGGAAGTTTGCTTCCGCATGAGAACAGGGCTTCCAACATGTAGACAACCAGGCATGGTGTATGGCCTTTAAGCTTAAGGCTGTGTTCATGAATCACGAAGATCTAGTCAAGCGCAAACAGAGCCAAATACATTTACTGCAGACAAAGATACCGACTTCCTTCCTCGTACACATGAACTGTGAATTGGCCGGCTTCTTCCATGCGAGACAATGGTCCGATAGACTGAATCTTGATATTGGCAAGGGAATACTTGTCAGAAAGTGTATACAAGACAAAGTTGTCATCTTGGTCTGGTCTTCCACATGTCCACGAGGGGTTCGGCCGTAACGAAAGAGATCTACAAGTCAACATGCCTGCATACAGCTTGCGTACAACTTGATCTATAGTCACTCGAGTGTAAGTATAGCCAAGGCTCATCGTTCGCAATTTAATGCTGACTCAACGTGACCGAGATGTGAAATTGACACACGGTAACCAGAGACTATCAACGATGAACCAATTCGTGTCATGGTCTCTAGAAATGGCAAACTCTACTGCGCTGATTTGTTGCGGTTGTGATAGATTAGCACTTCAAGACTCGAATATGCTATGACATGCGCCCCCAGATCCAAACATAGCTCGAAGGTCAGCGACAATCTCTTCTGGCTGTTCGTAGGCAAGGAAGTGGCCTCCAGCTCGTTTCTCACTCTCAAACACTACTGGGCCTAGGGTTCTTCCCCAAGTCCTTGGAACGATAGTGAGCTCCTGTGATTGTGATAGTGATCGTTAGCACACGAGCAGAACTAGATCCAAAGCAATCAACAGAGTGTCATCTGATCTCAGCCTGTCCAACGGGGCGATGAAAGCCCTTGTATCAAGACAGGGTCAAAGCAGCTGGCAACATTGCGAATAATCACGATAACAGCTACATACCTTTGGCGCATAGCACAGTCCTAGCGGGACTCTCTCAATGTAGCGCTGGACACGTTCACGAGTTGCCTCAGACGAGGTGTGAGTTGCCTCGTAGTAAATACGAAGCGAGGCGGCTGGCCCAGCTTGGGAGAACCAGTAGATCGAGATCCAGGTCAATATCTCATCATCAGTCCACGGATAACTATCTGTCCAGTCATGAAGCTTCTCGTAGATCCAGGAGAGTAAGGCGACTGGGCTGTCGGCAAGTGCATAACCAACAGTCTGCGGCTTTGTACTTTGAATCATTCTGTAGCCGCTACCCTCGTTCGCAAACCAATCGCTCCGAGAGAGTCCTTTTTGTTCATCCTCGGTATATGGAGTTACAGCATGTTGAATAGCGAGTAGAGGATTCGTGGAGAACTCCGGAGGACTTGCTCGGACCATGTTGATGTGGGAAGCCAGGCAAGAGTCTGGATAGAGCAATCCAATGCTGCGAGTGATGTACATTCCCCAATCNNTAGAAAGACTACGTCAGTTACACGACAGCTGTATACATGAGGGATACATCTCACCACCGCCTTGAGTAACNNTGTTTTAGAGGATGATCAGCATGCTCTTGTATAAAGAAGGAATGGATCGAGGTTTACCATACTTATTGTACCCAAGAAGCACCATGAGACGATGGCACGCCTCCGCATACTGGCCGAGTCCGAATCCTTTCTTCTTGATACCTAGCAAGGACTGAGAAGGATGACCTCAACGATATCAGGACGCTGTTGTTANCTTACCTGCGCTCCATCCGAAGTTTGGCAGAGAAGGTGCGACGACATGGAAACTGATACCGTTGCTGCTGGTGCCTAGAGCAGAAAGCATTTTGGTCACCTCAACGTAGCTGCCAGGCTTCGCTGTGTTAAATCGGGAACATCAACGAGTTTACACACTCAGACCTACCCAGCCATGAACGAAGAGCAGAGGTACCGCATCAGGTGTAGAACTCGGCTGGTGTAGGAAGTGCAGCTCAGTGTCTCCAAAGCCATCTATGGTGACATCTGTCTTGAAGTTGGGAAGCTCGTTCAGCTTCGCCTCTACCTTTCTCCAATCGAAGGCGTTTCGCCAGTGGGACGTAAGCCTCTTGACGTCGGCCAAAGGGCTTCCATAGGCCCACTCTGCATCTTCGAGCTCGTCCGGAAAAGTGGCAAGATCAAGTCGCTTCCGGAGGTCTTCAAGACGAGACTCGGGGACGGCAATTCGATAAGGAGAAGGCGCCATGGCTTCAAACTATGAATGGTATGGTATATAAGAGAGATATTCACAATGGAAGTCCGTTCTGATAAGCTTGAACACCGTCGCACCTCGTCACCTGTTTGTGCTGCCGAGCGGGGGATGTGCTCGGGAAACGATCGGCTTGCCGCTCATGTGCGCCTCATTCGTCACCTCGTCCGTTGTTGTCAGAAATTCTCCGAATTCGATGTCTTGACTCTTGAGGTCTCTCTGATGCTGTGGAGTTCAGACCAATGCCTATGCGATACAAGTACACTTCTTCGACAGACACAACTAGGGTGATGTGCGACTCTCTTCCAATTTCGAGTGGTCGAAGGCTGCCGAGGTCTTATGTTTCGAGAATCGTCAGCGAGGATAGAGCTCGATGTCCCGAGAATCAACCGAATCCTCGTCGCCGATTGCCCGGAATTTGTCAGATCGTCCGTGACGATTTACATGACTCTTGACGTGCGCAGCATGATGTTTCCTCGAACGGGGCAAGGCATAAAGTGATCGGCGACGATCAGCATTAGGATCCAGTAACTGCGACGACATTCTCGTGCTTGATCAAGCGGAAATCGATGACTGTCCTAATCGACTTCTTCCAGGGACGGCACAAGTGTAGGCATTGCAGAGTTGATGACATGGGGAGTGGCTTGGAGATAGATGGATTTCCTACACATCTTTGCCGCTCTTGGAGATGTTCTCAAGCTGTCATGACGATCTGAGCCTCAGTATGGTGGTAAGAGTCAAGATACTAAATTCTGAAATTGCGTAGGTGAACCAAGAAGACAGCTGAGTCGCATCATTGAGCAACTCGTTTTATGTGGTTCTTCATACATAAAGACCGCCATTCCCTGGTCCAAAAGAGTGCATTGACCTCGGTTTTTTTAATCGCATCTTGTCCATCTCGTCGAAGAACAATTCGACCATACTTTCAACATGCAGCCAATCTCGATCGCACTTGCTGTTCTTTCGCTGACTGGTTCAGCTTTTGCTAGACCAGCCCCCGCAGAGCCTGTGCCTTCACCATCGACTACTTCAACTGCTTCTTTGGAAAACCGAGACCTGATCGGAGATCTCACTGGAGCTGTCAGCGGTGTCCTCGGTGATGCTGTAGGAGATATCGACGACGTGCTCTCCAAAGTTGGAGCCGGCAAAATTGTTGGAACCCAGGCCTGGAGCACTATCTCATCGGCTCTGGCACAGGTCACCGCGACAAAGACCCAGACCAATGCTGCATCCGCTATCTCCCAATTGTCCAGCATCCATGCTGCTAAGCCTTCAGCCAACCTTTACGAATTCGTTGCTGCGATTGCCGCAGAAGGTCTGACTGCCAACTCTGTCACTGACCTCCTCGGTTTCGTCGATGGCTTGGCTAGTGGTGAGAACAGCATGAGCAATGTCAACATCCAAACACCCACGGAAGTCATCTACCCCAAGAAGGGCAACGACCCTAAGTACAGTGTTACTGAATCATCGCTTCGTTCTGCTATCTACATTCCATCTTCTTTCCAAGGGGGCAAAGTACAGCCTGTGATTCTCATGCCTGGTACTGGTGCAACCGGCTATTTCACCTATGTCGGAAACNNTGTAAGAAAACCATTCTTCCGCTGGTCGAAGAACTTTACTGACACAGTATCAGATATCAAACTTCTGACTGGATCAAGCTACGCCGACCCTGTCTGGCTCAACATTCCCGGATACCTTTTGAACGATGCCCAGGTTAACGCCGAATATGCTGCCTACGCCATCAACTATATTCACAGTATTACTGGCAAGAAGGTATCCATCATTGGCTGGTCCCAGGGTAACATCGACCTTCAATGGGCATTCAAGTACTTCACTTCGACCCAGACGTCGACCAGAAACCACATCGCCATCAGCCCTGACTATGCTGGTACCGTCAATGCCGACCTCATTTGCCCCAATGGTCTTCCATGCGATCCATCCGTCTTCCAACAGAAGTACAAGGGCACAAGCAACTTCATCGACAAGATGAGAGCCAACAACGGCGACTCTGCGTACGTCCCAACAACCACCGTGTACAGCGGACTTTTCGACGAGATCGTAGAGCCTCAGCAAGGCACAGGTGCCTCCGCATATCTCAATGACGCTCGCAAAGTGGGTGTTACCAACAACTACCTTCAAGGAATCTGTCCTGGCCTCCCTGGCGGTTCATTCTACACTCACGAGGGTGTGCTTTACAACCCCATTGCATTCGGCCTGGTCAAGGATGCTTTGATCAACGGCGGCGCTGGCAAGACGTCCCGTCTCAATCTCAACTCATTGTGCAACATGTACCTCGCTGAAGGCCTGAACGTGGGCGACTTGCTGCTCACAGAAAACTCCATCCTGGTTGCTGCACTTGCGCTTGTCCTCTACGAGCCCAAGGTCACGGTCGAACCCGCCATCAAGTCTTACGCCACTTACTAATCACGCTCACGAGCGCCAAAGATTTCTTGTAGATATTCTGGTCTTACAATCTGTACATATATCACGACCACCCAAAGTCAATCCTGGAGGATTTTTGTTGACGAATGCTTATGACTCTTCTTGTATATATATTTTTTATCTACTTTGTGTTGTCTCTCCCTAAGCATTTCGTGTTGTGCAGTTTTCCACGTGAGCTTTTCGGTGCTTCTGGGCGTTACGCAATGTAAACATGCTATGCAGCAATCGTGTTTCGTAAAGGTCGGTGGTTGTTCGTCATATCATCAAGCTCATATTGTAGGTCGTTTCTCTCAGAGTGGCAGGAATCCCAAGAGGCTGATGATGGCCTGTACAATGAATGGCTAGATGATGTTAGTATGTTCTGTGGAATCGACAAGAGCGGATACTCAAGGCATACAGTATGGACGGTTCTTCCAGCGCTACTTCCCAGAGTAGCAGCAGTGCTGGTTCCGACAATGATGAAGCCCCCGCCAGTAGTAGCCGCGCCTGAGGCACCAGTGGCGGTGGCAGGCGATGTACCGGTGGTGCTAAGGCCGCTTGCGACTATGAGGCCTCCTCCAGATGTAGCTGTCGTTCGGGATGATGAAGCAGATGCAGTCAAGGGCTGAGAAGCGGCAGCTGTGGTAGAGGCGACAGAGCCACCGGAAGCGATGACGCCAGCAGTAATGATGGATGAGATGGCACCAGTACAAACGGCACCACTCGGGCAGCAGGCAACGTGGCCAGCCTGGTCAGGAGCACATATGGCCGAGTTGGCGCAACAAAGACCCGGGGCACCGATATTTGCACAGTTTTTGTAGCCAGTTGGGCACGACGTTGGATCAAGCGCGCGTTTGACCAGGTCGTAGGATGTTTGTTCGTTGGAGCTTGTCTGTTGCGACCAGTCGAGCACGGACAGAACCGGTGCAAGAGTGATGCGCTTGCCAACGATGTCAAGAGCAGGAGAATGCCGCAGAGCATCCAGACTCGAGAGTGAGGCAGCATGACTGTTTGCGAGTTGAATTTCGATTCTTGTCGAATGTGTCTCTATTATCTGGCTGCTGCCCGACATCCAAAAGTCACCTCAGTGTTTGCTTCTCGGGTGTTGGCAGGTGAATACACATGGCCCATGCGCCAGCTCTCTATTCACCGCCTCGGTTGCTGAAACCCGAGCCCCAAAGAGCCACCATCACCATGTTTCCAAACAGGCTGTCCTTGCACACAACAACACGATCCCAATCATGTCTCCGATACCACAACGACAAGACATGGTTGAAGCAGGCTCTGTTATCTCGTCATGTCGGACTTCAGAATCGGTAGTGTGTCCAGGACGTGACTAGGGCTAGAATTGGCATATCTTCGAGCGTCCCCGATGATTGGCGGAACAATCCAATTCCATCTTCACCATATATTCTTCCGCGAGGAAACAAGCGAAACCACCGACTTTGAGTGGAGAACAGAGGCACAAGGACCGGGCCTGGGGTCCCCAGATGAGCCAGAGACCTTCTGGCCGCCCCGATCAAGCACGGATCCTATCTGTCAACCCCATATCATGGTGCTAAACTCTGGAGTGGCGTGGGGGAAGGAGGGTGAAGATACGGGGGATATTGTTCCACTGCGGTGGGTGAAGGCTTGAGGAAGATTAGCATCCTTTGCATATATAACTTGGCCTGCGCCCTGCATCACACCACAGACTGTCTTTGTTCTTTGTATACCAAAGGGAACCCAATCTTGTTCCAACACCCAAAAAGACCACATACCCTCCTCCTTGGGCAAAGGCTTCAATCGTTATATACCGAGTTGAGCATTCTTCCGGCCCCAACTCTTTCCCAAACCGCCAAGGAAAGACTACCGCCATCATGGGCAAGTTTAGCATGAGCAAGACGAGAGCCTACAACTGGTACATCTCTCTCGTGGCCGCCTCATGCATGGTTCTCTACGGCTACGATGCCTCCGTCTTCAATGCTGTGCAGGGATCGAAGCACTGGGTCGCCTACTTCGACAAGCCTAGTCTCCAAACGATCGGTGCCATCAACACCGCCTATACTGTCGGAGCCATCGTTGCTGGTTGGTTCATGGGCGGTCCTATTGCCGATTACTTCGGACGTCGCGTGTAAGTTTCACACTTCTTGAGTGACTAAACATATACTGATGACTTCTCAGGNGGTATGGCTTCCGGTGCCACCCTCGTCATCATCGCAACCTTTATCCAAACCTTTACTCCCCGCCACAATCTTGCATGCTACATCGTCGGCCGTGTAGTTGTCGGTCTGGGCCAAGGTCTTGCTCTGACTGCCGGTCCAATCTACATTGGAGAACTTGCTCCTTCCGAAATTCGTGGAAAGATCATGTCCTTCTGGCAAATGTTCTACTCCGTGGGCTCTTTCATCGCCTACTGGGTCAACTTTGCATGTTCCAAGCACAGAGCTGCGTTGGGCGAGTGGGACTGGAGAATGGTCACCATCTTCCAACTGCTCATGCCCGTCCTCATCCTCTCCCAAGTGTTTTTCATCCCCGAGACTCCGAGATGGTACCTTCAACATGGCGACGATGGCACAAAGGCCAAAAAGTCACTACTCAAAGTCCGCGATACCGAACAGGAAGTCGATGACGAAATCCTCATGATCAGAGAAGCCCTCGAGTTTGAGAAGGAAGCGATTTCCAGCTCGTACTCTGCACTCTGGAAAGACCCCTCGGTACGCAAGAGACTGCTATTGGCCTTTGTCCTCAACGCCGGTCAGCAAATTACTGGCCAAGGCACGCTCAACACATACAGCACAATCATCTACAANAAGGTGTTTGCCAACGACTCGACCATCGCTTTGATCAACGCCCTCAACGCCACCTTTGCAATCTTCTTCACCATGAACGCAACATGGACTGTCGACCGCTATGGCAGAAAGTTTTTGCTCATCGTCGGAGCAATAGGCATGGCAGTCTGTATGGTCATCGTCGCAGCCGTGGTCACCGAAACCCCCGGCGGCAACACCAAATCCGAACCCGTCGGTATAGCAGTAGTGTTCCTACTCTTCCTTTTTGCATTCTTCTACAAACCGTCATGGGGTGCCACCGTTTGGGTGTGGACGGCAGAGATCTTCTCTATGAACGTTCGCGCTCAAGCAGTTGGTATGGCTTCCCAGACCCAGAACGTTGCAAACCTCATTGTGCAGCAATTCTTCCCTACCTTCCTGAACAACTGTGGATTCTACGCTTTCTACATGTTTGCGGGTATCAACCTTTTGCTTGCCGTCTTTGTCTGGTTCTGCATTCCAGAGACCAAGAATGTTACTTTGGAAGAGATTGATACGCTGTTTGGTGGGCAGAATCATGTGGCCATGGGAGAGGGTATGGTGGGTGTTGCCGAGGGAGAAAAGTTTGGTGTCGAGACGGTCGAGGAGATTAGAGAGGAGAGGAGATGATTGTCTGATTTGCCTCTATCTGTTATGACTTGTATATGCCTTGTATGCTTGATAATATGGGTACAATCCTTTTTCAGATTTTCCTTTTGGGGACGCACTGTTTCCCGCAACTTCAACTACGATTTGTCGAGCCAAGGGAATGTCGGCTATGCATTGAACCAGGCTCGAAAAGAGTTTGATCAGTCCTCAGGGCGACTTGATTACATTACGTGGAAAGGGATCTATACTCTAGATGGAGGAGTGCAGATGCAGCCTAGCAGGCTACAAGAGGCAGAGACTTGCGAGAAAAAGAGAGAGATAGAGAGCCCCGAAGGAGAACCTAAAAAGGATTGTATGAAATGAGTGATTATGTTTGATGTCCCTCAAGGTTGACGTATACAGTGATGTTTACTTTACTGAAGCCTTACAAGGCTAGTGCAGAACTGATGCGTAACATGTCGTAGGCTCTCTGGAGTCACATTTCTACTCCGTAAGCTCTTTTGAGATCATCAAAACAAAAGTCGCTCTTCACTTTTGGGCGGGGATGGACGTCACCAGCCTTCTACAAGTGGGAAGATAGTGATGATTGAAAGTAGGATATAGATTGTGTCATGCAATAGTTAATGCTATCGTCGCTAAAAGGGTAACAGTTCATAAAAATCTTCATGCCATCACAACTCTAGTTGTACTGCCAGGCAGCAGGGCCGTCCTTCTTGACATCGTTGGCCAAAAGGTTCACCATGGTACAAGTGTTCTTTCCAGAAAGACCGTTTTGCTTGACCGAACCCTGATCATCACGGTACTCGAGCCAGATACGGTAAGCCTTGTTGGTCGAGTCCTCACTGCACAGCCAGAAGTCGTAGAACTTGCCGACCTGGTTCTGGGGCGAGATCTCAAAGCCAGAGAATGTGGAGCCGGCTGGTGTGGAGGCAGAGTGGGCTTGTGTGTAGGTGAGGAGGCCGTCAGGGCGGATGTAGACTTGTTGGCCGCCGGGAACTTCGGTGTTGAGGTACAGCAGGCCGTTTCCGGAGGAGGTGAAGGATGTGGTGTTGCCGCTAGGGCAGTTGGGTTTTACGGAGTCGGGGCNAGAGGTTGAAGCCTTCTTGCCGATCCAGAAGGAGCCACCAGAGGCTTGGATGGGGCCATTGAGAGGGCTGTTGCTGAAGGAAATGTCGAGGGTGAAGGCCTTGCCTGCGTCGTGGCGAGCCTCAAGAGGTGCTGCCAGGGTAGAAGAGGCAGCGGCCAGGAGGGCGACAGTGTTGGTAATGGTGAACTTCATGTTGTAGAGACTCGATGTGGTTGGTAAATGTGGACGTGTGTTGGTCTTTGAGGTTGTTGGTTGTTCGATTAAGAGTTGCTTGGTTGGTGAAGATGTTTTGTGGATGAGAAGGAAGTCTTTGACGGTGCATTGCTCTCAACTTATATAACACTATCTCTTTGCCTCCGCACATCAATCATGGAGCATGCTTCAGGCTCAACACCTACCTCTGGAGTATTTTTAGTAAATCTCGTACTTGAATTGTAGATCCGGTCAAGAACGGTCGAGATGTGTAATGATATATCATATCCCAAGAGCACAGTTGTCTCGGCAGATGTCGAATTTCATATCACAGAGGCCACGGGCAGGTGACCGTTTTGCTCCCAAGACGTTGCAGTTCTGGCCGATCAAAAGACGGACCAGGAAGCTTCGTTCTTAGAATAGAAACACTATAGCATCATGGTGTCACTTGGTGAGTCAAGGTCACCCAAACACTCTAGATACGACCGTAGCACCGTAGTAGCAGCATGCATATCGCTCGTCACAACGGTGAAGGTGAAAGATGAGGGAAAAGGACGGAAAAGATGGATGAATAGGGCCCGGGCCGAGAAGAGAGCTTGAGCTCCAAGCACGATGACATCTTATTGCCGTGGTATTTCCGCCCCTGACCACCTCTGACTTGGCCGACATGCCACACACTCCTCAGAGCTAGGACGCCTGTGCTGTTCCTCAGAAGACAAGATGGTGAGTAACATGTTCAAATGGAAGATGGTGATGTGGTCAGAAGGATGAGGCAGGCACGATCTCGCTGAGATGCAGTGTGGAGACGAGATCTCGTAGACGTCATCAAAGCCATCGTCTCGATGAGATATTATCCATCATCACCTTACCATTTCTACCCCTCTCCCATTCAGTTCCCTTTGCAAACATCGTCTCTGGCAAACACCGTCACGATAGCTTCAAGAACAATCCCCCGTCTGTCCCTCCTCAGCCGTCAAGCAACCCGCACAATGGCCACAACATCCTCGACCAACAGCCCCCAGCCGGCTCCCTGGAAGCAGGCCTTCCTCAAGGACCTCGACAAGATGGACTCTCCCGAGTTTGTCTTTTCATCTCTACACCCTGCCCCCAAGGACTCGCCTACACCTTACCTGCCCCGTGCCCGCTACTGCATCTTCCGCGGTTTCTGGTCAGAGCTGCCCGACAACAAGCACAACGAAGCCCCCATGAACCCTAGAGTCTTTGAGTCGGAGATGCCGACCTTCACCTCTGATGTGCGTATGATGAAGATCCCCGAGCTGTTTAGCTCGGGAAGTGGGCACGCAGACAAGGAAGAGCAAATGCAGGGAAGTGGTGGTGGCGGTCCTTGCGAGGCCGTCTACTGGATCAAGGACACGCAGGTGCAGTGGAGGTTGAAGGGCGAGGCTTTTGTCGTCGGCCCTGATATCGAGGGCGACGGCGAGCAGAGCAAGGAGAGCAGTGGTGTGAGGACTGTCAAGAGCGAGCTGGGCAGCCGCATGAGAGTTGTCGATGAGGGCAAGCAGGGAGAGTGGTCTTGGAGCAAAGAGCTGACCGCTCACTTTGGCAACAACTCGCCTGGTCTGAGAGGTATGTTCAGATCCGCATGACCAATACCCCCACTTCATTGCTAACATTACTATCAAGGTTCTTTCAAGGCACCCCCACCTGGCCGTCCTACCTCCGAGCCCTACGATGACAAGAACCTGGCCCTCGGCACAAAGGTTGAGGACCTGAACGACTCGGTCGCAAGAAAGAACTTCAGAGTCGTCGTTGTCAAGCCTGAGGAGGTGGAACAGCTTGATCTCAGTGACCCTACAAAGGCACGTAGACAGGTCTACATCTACCAGGCCGATGGCACCTGGAAGCAGGAGGAGCGCTGGCCTTGAGTGTTTCATGAGGACATTACAATGAGAAACGTCACATGCATATAAACGACAAAGAAGAGATCAAAGCAGATATCATAATGCAATAAATTCATGTTCATACCCAAATTCCAACCAACCCACAACGCCGCTGTCCAAAGGGGTATATCAAAAGAAGCGCAAAGGAAGAAAAAAGAGAACTAAGCACAGAAAAGAAAGTCAACCAAATCAAATCTCAGACCAAGCTCTGCTCCATCTCGGTAACGTAGAGCTTGATGTGCGACTCCATCTTGAGGTACTCCTCCTTTGCACTCTGCACCTCCATATCAATGTTTTCCTTCAAGTCAGCCATCTTCTTCTCCGTCTGCTCGATTCTGATACGTCTTCTCTCAACCTCTTCACCACGTTTGCGTCGCTCTTCACCAAGTTCCGAGTGTGTCTGCTTCAGCGACTCCATGCGTCTCTTTGCTTCCTCGGCCTTTGCGCCTGCACCTTGTCGTAGATTGTTGGTGCGTTCTTGGATGTTGGCGAGCTGTTTGCTGAGCATGCGTTCTTGACGCTCAATCTCGCGCACGTTGTTAGAGCGCTCCGAGAGGGCGTCGCGGTGTTTGTTTGCCCGTGAGGCTTCCTCGTCTTCCTTTTTCAATTCGGTTTGCAGATCTTCTAGTAAGCGGCTGAGGCCGTTTACATCGTCGCGGAGGAGAGTGAATGTGTCGGTGCTTGTTTGGAGGGCACGGGTGCGGCGGTCAAGACGGTCGATTTCGGACTTGTCGGCTGTGAGGTTTGCGTTTAGGTCGCGGAGGGCCGTCTCGAGGGCTGCAGGGCTTTGCTGTGTGTAGGGGCGCAGCTTGTCGGCTTCTTTGCGGACATTGATGGCTTGTGTCTGTTTGTCTTCGAGGGCTTGCTTGAGTCTGCTCTGTTCTGACTTGACACGATCCAGCTTCTCGGCCACCTTTTCCTGGCCTTTCTTGAGTTCAAGTAGGCGGGCCTTGAGCTCGCTGTTCTTCTTTTCCTTGTCATGCATGGCTTGTTCGACATTCTTTCTGTTGCGCTGCATTTCCTGCAGCATCTCCTCCTTCTCTTGGTTTGCATTGTATAGCTCTTCAATACGAGCCTTTGTGCGCTCGGTGCTGTTGAAGTATTCATCGATGACCGACGTCTGCGACTCGCGGAAACGGATAAAGTTGATGACATAGGAGAAGATCTTTACCAGACGCGGGTGTGTCGGCTTGTACAGGTCCTGGAAAGTAAAGTCCTTGATGCCGCACTCGAGCAGCAAGCGGCGCAAAGTGACAAAGAAGCCCATGAGGTCGCGCGTGTCGGCCGTAAAGATCCTGTCCGGGTCGTCGGCGCACAAGTCTTCAGCCGCGGCCTTCATGGCAGGCGCAACGACTTCGCGCGTCGTGTTCATCAACAGCTCGGCCAGCCATTCAAAGACTTTCTGGATTTGCTGTGGGTTGGGCTTTTGCAGGTCTTGGATGCTGAAGGGGATGCCAATGTCGCTGATGCATCCTGCAATCTCGCGGTCGGGNNCTGTAAACACAGAACTATTAGTGACGGTCGGGCATGTCGAGTACAGCAAAGGAGAACTCACCAGTGTCATAAAGGCGTCTTCATTGTCCTCTTTGCGAGCGCGAGGCTGACTCGATGGCTGTTGGGAGCCTCGCGGCGCCATACTCATGCGTCCGCTGTATGCCATGCTTGTCGTTTGTCTTGTTGTGTCCTTGTTGTCGCAAAACTGGTGCTCAAGAAAGTCTTCGGCCTGAAAGTGTGGGGTAGTAAACAAACCCCTCGCACGGGCCAACTGTTAAGTCCATGTCAGGGTCATCCCCAAATCACCAGTGAGAGCATCGTCGGCAGCCATGATCATAGCCTTTAAG